GAATTGACGTTGTTTCTTAATTTTGCACATCTGCCATAAAACCGATTTTCTCGAAGGCTTATCTAAAACATTGCAGAGTCTTGTAGCTTATTTATTTCAGTCAAAGTTTCGATCTTTCGTAAAAGAGGCAATCGTATGAGCCTTAGGCGAATGCCACATCATCGCTTGTCGCAGCATCGCACGCAAGCACGAGAAGCAAATCGTGATCGACCTATTTTCTGTGCCTTCCGCATACCACACCACACTACATTACCGATTGACTGATCGGCCGACTAACTCGTGGTTCTGAAAGAAACCTCTCTCGGTCGTTCGTCAATGCGTCAGGTCATCGACCTCAGTCGTCGCGTTAGATGAGTTCACGTGGAAGAAAAAATTCATGACGTTGCTGCGTGGCACTAGTAACTGCGCACAGGCCAGCTGCGAGCACAAACGATCTCTGCAAGTTGTCAATGTCATCTTTCAACGTCTTTTAAGGGTCCCACTGTTCACAGTCTTTTTGCCATTCTCTGATTGGTCACTGACGCAGATAACTGATGGTAAGTCGAGGCCGAAATTGCTGTTACCCTTTTCCGTTATGATCAAAACGTACACCGCATAGTTTGCTGACATTTTCTGTTTCCTCGTTACGATATGTTTAACAAATTGCCCATAAGTCATCAGTTCTGTTAACGCAGATCTGATGGACTAATCCCAGATTTGATCGTCTAGTGAAATTTATTTTCAGATCTTTGAATATAAATTAGTAAGTTTTGAGATTGGTTTCAATTCTAGGCTATGATTTGAAGGAGCAGTGTTTAAGTACTGTGTAATTTGGAGCTAGATCATCGATGTTATATCTTATGGTGATAAACCATCTGCTCGACAGGCCGCATTTGGTACAGTTGCTCCTCTGTCTCGCAGCCGTTTGCCTTCATTAGTGAAAAGGCAGAAACTTCCCGTTGAAACTTTTCTGAACGACAGAATTTGTCATCGACAATATGATGTACTTTTATAAAACATTAAAAATGAATCGTCAGTATGACAGCAGTTGCCTACTTTGACGAACCTCCTACCTGAGATTCAAGCGCCCTTTAAATGGAAATGCGGCATAATCTTTTCTAGTGCCGAAAATTTATGGCATATATTTCTAACGTATTTTTTTTGTCTAATTTCTACCCATGGGAGAACCTGACAGGACTAAGAGTTTCTATGTTGTACTCAGCGGTGTCATGGAAATACGTCAACTCTTTCACTTTTCCAGATGGATTTCCAAAATATGGATGGTATATTATTAAGCAGCTGGTTAGACAATGCTTTTTACTGCACTAGTCTTCTTCAAAATTGCGCATCGTTTTTTCGCTTTGAGAGATAAATTAACGTTATTTGTCATATGCTCTGTGTAATGTGGCTGTGGCTATTATTATTTTTTCAGTCACACCAGAAAATATGACATGAATGGTATGACATTCATTTATGTTCGAACCCTTTACAATCAGTGCTCTGGTTTACAGCCTGGGCTGATCTTCCGTAGTGGTCTTCTGTAGTTCATTCACCTTGATCATTTCAACAATTAACTTTAGTAATTGCTGATAGTCTCCCTTAGGTCGTCATTCATTGCTTTTATGGTACCAATCATTACAGGAATGACTTATGTCTTCATTCTCCCAGTGTTTTTTATTTCCATCTTCACTTCTTCGTATTTCAGAATCTTTTCTCTCTCCTTAGCAACAGTTTTGCCGTTAGCCAAACTTGATATATCAGTGATTTGTACCGATATGATATCCGGATGATGAACCGATGTTTCTTTCTCATTTTGTTCTTTTCACTTTTTCAATCTCTTCGACCTATTGGGTTGATGTGTTCACCATTAGATTACCACTACTGGTAAGTTGGCATGAATTCACAAATGTCACTTGACTATCCTTGCAATGTTGCTGCGCCTTTCATTGTATTATCGATTCTTGAGCGTATCGAAATTATATACCTCACGGTCTCGTCCTTCACTTAATACACTCAGCATTTTTTTCTGTCTGTTTATGTACGTGTGCAAGATGCATGAATTCTTGTTTGGTTACTGTTAGAAGAGCTTCCGTTTCGCCACGGAGTGCAATTCTTGATAGTCAATTGAAAAACTGGTGGATGTTTTCTTGTCTTAAGTTGGCGAAGATACTTAGTAATGAAGCTCTGCTCTTGCCATCATTGTTTCAGATATCAGACGTTCTGTACATTTTCCCGATGATCTGCTGCATTTGCAGTAAACTGCTTTTGATTTTCACCGGAAATTTTGGATGCCGTTTAGTCGCGGCAGTTTTCACGTGAACATGTTTTAGTAACATGTAGTTTTTTTCCGGATAGGCTACATTATACTGATGTTTCTGGTTTAATTCTTCTCTCCTAACACTAGCCAGTAACTTCTTATCGACGTTACCAGATTTTGCTCCATGTCTTTGCAACGCTTATGGTTCTGGTGTTTTGAATTCTTCATTTAGTTTCTGTTGCTGTTCTATTGAGGAAAATAATTTATTGCAGTTATTCCTGAACAAATGGTCCTGATGCCTTTTCTTATTATTGTATCGTTATGATGCTTGATCTTGCAGCCGTAGAGCTCGGTTTTGTGTTTAAGGAAGGTTTATGCAACGTTCACTAAGACGAACGAACCTGCTAGTCAGGAAGTCTTTCTAGGACGTTCGCACTCCCAGATTCTTACGATACATTTTCATTGGTCATATCTTTTCTACTTGCGCTGGTGGGATGTTTCAAGTAAGTGTCTGACGTCTAAATCTCGGAATGCAGTTTCTATATCTTCTCTTCTAACTACTTTTTCCATAATGCAACTGATTGCATTTTATTTCCGTTATCAGTTACTGGCTTCTTCAGTACTGGTCTGATGAGCTATGCAAGGATGGTAGAAGCCGCTTTTGCAGCTGCATCGACCAATTCACACCTTTCTTTCACACTGATTTTGTGACAAGTTTTTTGCTGGCAATTTATTTGCCATGATCACGATTTTTATCGACCTCCATTTATACGGTCTTTTGAGAATCCGTATTTCTTTCTTCCATGGCACTATCGATATCATGGCCATAGTGAATAGTTTCTTGTTTTATTTCCCATTAAACTTCATCATTTTTTTTCAGCATCTTGTTTTTTGATATGAGCTTACCGTTAAGGATCATTTGACTTGATCGGCCAGTTTCGGTCCAGTTAAAGTTGCTTCTGGATCACTTGATGGTAATCACTCTTTTTATTATCGCACTTAGTAGCCGTTGGATGGCTTTAAAATTGATTTCCTTGCGCCGTTTCATTCAACATTGATTATTGGAAGGTGGAGTCGATGTGGATGTCTTCAACATGTTTCAAATGTTCATCTTCTTGGGACTCAGCTACGTCCTCGTTGGTCGTTCATTTCTTCTTTGCGGTATCCACATGAAGTACGACGCCACAGCTCACCACCATTGTTACTGACGAGCCTTCTCCACCGGCTCTCTCTGACGACGTCGCAGTTCGCTGTAGCAGACCTGATGATGCACCCTTTAATTATATCTGCACCACAGCCGATGCAGTATAAGAATCATGTGATATCTTCTTCATTCTGTTGTTTAAAATGACTATCAAAGACTTAATACAGTCTCTAGCCTCAAATCCGCCCAGTATTGGTTCAGAAGCTAAGATATCCGTTTGTAGAGATTAAAGGTTCATAGAAGCGCGTAAACTCTATCGACAGGGTCATTACTGTAATTAATGATCATAGTTGTTTTCATGTTCTGATTGGCTCTTGCATAGAAGTACTGAATGACTTTTTGATGCATAAAAAATTTTCATTTTTTTCTCAGACAAACTTAGGTTGCTTAAGTTTATGAACAAGTGGAAATTTAAGGTGTTCCAATATCTGTTGTGGAGGAGAAAGTGATGCTTTCTAATACAGAACGTGATTGTGCATTTTATTTGAAAGTAATTAGTGGCGTAAAGAACTTGTTTCCCTCATCTGGCAGAATTTTATCTATCTTTTAGCATATCATGAGTTAATCTGATTAGAAGTAGCTCTATTAGTTTTTAACTCAAAATGCTGATAAGATTCTAGTACGATGCTCTACATAAATAATTTTAAAAATGAATTTGAAGTTGGACTTTATTTTTGGCGTAATGCCAAATTTTGTAAGCAGTAATTAGATGGCGAGGTTGCTCAATCGTTACATCGTCGCATTTAGAACTGCGAGGTCCCAGGTTCTAGGCCCGGACAGATCATTCGCCTTTATTTCTTTCGAAACTGATGAGTATCATTCTGTAGTTAGGAGACAGCAGATTACATACCACGCTTGTCATATAGTGGCGGTTGATTCTGTTTTTAAATTAAAGTGTTCTTGCCTGATCGTATGGAAATGGAGGTTTAAGCAAGAGATCAGTATCATGTGAGGAAAACCGACATTCCGACGGTATAGAAACTTTTCCTTCGTTTACCAATAATCAGAAAAATTTTGAAGTTCGCGGTAATTCTTCGTAATCGCAACCGTGTGTTTATTAATGTTATTGCTTTAGGAAATTGAATCTTGACGAAACAAAGTTTGCCACTTGTCAACTTCAGTCAACGACTCATAAAATCAGAACTTTTACAGCTCGATGGTGGCTGAATTTTGGAATGAGTCTTGAAAAATTGAAACTTTGGTTGGGTTTTGGCCCGGAGTGTCAAAATGGCGGTCGTAAGACCAACTATGGTACATGCATCTGTCGGCAGTACTTCACTGGAAGACTATGTGAACACACGCTGTGTTTGAATGGAGGCGTGCGAAACAGCTTTCACGAGACATGCGTTTGTCCAGACCCGCATATCCGCGGCGCTCACTGCGAAATAGTCACATGTGAAAATGGTGGTAGCGACAACGGTCATGGAACATGCACCTGTTTGGAGCCATGGTACACGGGATCCTTTTGCCAGTATTACAGTAGTCCATGGGGCATCCTGTTCGGCTGCGTCGGTCTGGCGATCGCTGTGATCGCGTTCGTGTGTATCGCATGCCGACTAAAGAGCTGTTCTCACCGTCGACATAACTCTGGCAATAGTCGAGGCTTCCGACATCACTCACAAATGCCGTGCGCACCAACATCGGGACAGATACCTAACCGAAACAGACCAGAAACCGAGATTCTGATGACTGTGCCTCCTGACCTCTCGGTCAGATATAAACATTTCATCATTAAGTCTTATCCTCGCTCTTCTCAGCACTGTGTTTCCCGCGATCTTCCGCCGACAGTGTCAGTTGGTCAAAATGAAACAAGGCTGATTGAGCGGTCACCGTTACCGCCGCCTGCAGTTTATACGGTGAGGTCTGAAACGCCTCCGCCTTCTTATGAAGAGGCAATCAAAGAGACATGAACATGACAAGTGTCCTTAATTCTGACATACTTTAAATTTGATTCGTTTTTTTTTGCGTCGTTATTATTGCACGGTAGTGCTCCAGGACGTAGTGCAAATTGACGCTGTGGTTTGGCGTTTTGGCACAGACTTTATACTGAGCCTCTGTGTATGATGATATTTTGCATTCTTAATGATTTTATGAATTGTTTTCTAGCGGGTGCTAAACCGATGGTTTTGACGTATATCTCAACAAAAAACGCAGGTATCTGGAGAATATTTATATGATTATCATTGACAAACAGTAGCTAAGCATGATGTATTGAAGATATATTTAGGTTTTACATATTACTCTCTAATTTGTAATACATTTGTATGGAACGTTGTTCTTCGCCTATAGCCATGATGGCTGACAGAGAAAGTTACCTTCTATATGCCGAGCTGTGTGCCTGACCTCCAGCATAGTTTAGCGACCTCTCATGTTAGAATACGGAGTATCTGATTAGCAGGTTCCAATTCTTGCTGATAAATAGCAATATCTGGTAAACAGATTATACGATGATCAACATGATGACATTTTATCTCTTGTAATTGTGTAGATCAGAGTTGGTATTGTTATTTTCTACAGTTTTCGTCTATCTAGTTGCTTTATGGCTTAGACACATGCGATGAAAGTCATTTTAACGGCAGATAGCTGACACTTTTATCGTGATTACTCAACAGTCAGTTTTGAAGAACGCCTATTATTTCCGGTCGCAGGGACAACAGCATTAGGCATTTTCTCTAACATTTCTGATTTTGTATCAACATACGAGCTTCTGCAGAAAATAACCCGAGTCTGGAGCAGAGTCCTTCAATACATTTGCCTCAGGTCATTCTTGGCAATCTCCTGGGTATGTCGAGCAATTAGCAGTTTTTAGGCTTTTGAGATGAATCGCAGGTATCACGTATTTTGACATTGTCCAGAGTTCAGAGATCTGAAAGAGCTTTGACATGCAGTTCCCGCTTCTTCAGCCTGGGTAGTCACAGCCGTGATGTTTTGGACTCATGTTGCGAATGCTTACGAATGAAAAGCGAAACACCTATTAATTGCACAACTGACATAAATAACCTGGTGCAAGTGTCTCGACACTGCGTGTTTTATTCTGTTGAAGCTCAAACGCTGGCCAGAATTAGAAACGTTGAAGATAACTTATCGCACACGTCCTCCTCCGCGAACAAAGGGATACAAGGTCATCGAAACTTATTGTTTAAACAAATTTTTTTTAGACAGTGTTGGTGTACTGTAAACTTTAACGCATTCATTTCTGTATTGCTTGCGTGCTGTACAATTTCTCAGGCTCTTTTACCCTCAGAACTAGTCTTGTTACGAATTAGGCTTTGTTTTCCCGGTGCTTACGTTAAAGGCTTAAGTAGTGTCATCGGCGATCGTCAGTGTTCTCCTAACTGACAGGCGAATGTCTGTCCCATGAACTGTGGCCTCGCTGTTACGTTTATGTAATGTTCACAGCATTTACATGGCAATTTACAGGAGCCAACTAGTATTATGTAGTATTGCGTTAGCGGTGTTGGAATACATTATAACAATATAATAATATAGTTTAATACCTTTCGTAATTTGTATGAAAATGTTTTTTGATATCTGGTCTAACGTTTCCTGCTGTTACAAGAAGAATCTTCTCAACAAATCAGCGAAAAGACGTTAATGAACTCGTTTCGCCAAAATGGTCAGCTCTGCTGTCGAATTAGCAGAAAGTAGCATCTGCAACTGCGCAAGAGATATTAACAAAAACGCTTTTAGATGCACAGTGCGATGCAAACTGAGCCACAGCAAAAAAACATGAAAACAAACAGACTGCAATACTTTTACTTACATATTTATTTTCATTCATAATATAGAAACAAAAGTATCAGACAGCCTATGTTTTCTTCAATGTTTTCTTGATCAGCGCCATTCTCTAAAAATACTTATTTCGGTAACTTTAAAATACTGTTAGAACAAAGGCAAACAAATTCAACACACACACACACGCACGCACATTAAATTGCTTACAGTGACCATGATTCATTTACGCAAACAACCGTATTCAAGATTAGCTTTTGTTTTCCTTTCAGTTATTTGGACACTAACGGGCTGTTTAACTGCTGGTTACATGATTGCACTGCACTTGTGTTTGATAAGCAGACTCCTGTTCGAAGTGCTCTGTTTATATGTTCTTTACTGTTGTTGTTATTAAGTTCCCCTGCTGCATATGCTATAAGTTCTTCCTTCTGATGCTTTCTGTTAACAGCTGTTCATCTGCATCATCGCCTTGGCCGCATTAAACTGTTGAACCTGGAATAGTTATTTCTCTTCATTTAACATAACTCAACTCAATCGTTGCCAGTTTCAAATCCGGATGGGCAAGGGGGATAGCTGGACACCACAGCGAAATCTCCGGTAAAACCTAGCTACCTGATTCTAGTAGTATCGAAACGATCTAAAGCCATAACGGGTCAGTCGTCGCTTGGGTTACCACCAGCTACACAGGCTACTGATGAACAGAAGTACAGTCAAAAGTCGGCGATCAGAACCTGTTGCATGCCTTTTGGCAGCTGAAGGTCGACACCTGCCAAAGATGTACATGAAGATGAGAATGACAGCATTTAGCAATAAAGGAGGCAGACAGCGTGATGCCATTATAACACGTCAGATAAGGCTCCACGGAAATGATACCGCCAGTGGGAGCTTACAGTCAGAAACTGGAACATATTTATACAGAGGGAAAGAGCGGGAGCTAATTGATGATACCACAAGGCACCGACTGGAAAAGTACTCCCGTCATCGAAGCGATCAGCAGCATTAAACCTCAACAGATGAAAGCCATCCTACTCAGGTATGGAACTGCATAAGCCGCGCTCGGGCCAGTGTTGGGGCTAGTTCAATATAGCTGTTTTTCATATTCTAACATTACTTGATCGGATTCGTTTCAGCTTATTGTGGTTAGCTCTTAATTACTTCTGGGTGTATATAATTCATTTGTGGAAGTGGGAACTGCTTCCACTTAGCATATTATCATATCGCTGCTTTAACATAATTTTTTTTCACATCGTACGTCATATTATTGGTCTATTTAATTTATATTATAACTAGTTAGTGATCAAATTGACATACGGTCTAGGATATTTTACAGTCGTGTTTATCAACCTTGAAAATAATCATGATACAGCGAATTTGACTGTCATAACCGTGTCTGTGTATCTACAGAGATCACTAGCATAAACAAAATTTGGTATTGGTTTCGAGCATACGTTGCAAATGCTATGTTCGAAAGGCATAACAAGAGCGCTGAAAAATTTACCTGTTTGTGCATTTCGCTAGTGTAAGGCTTTTTATAGGGTCTCAGTTGATCAGTTCCGTAACCGGGTATCCATATGTTAAAGTTGCGCTCTAAAAAACAATAAAACTAAGATAAGATCACAAACGGCTATATATTGGCCAAAGCGAAATGCAGTAGGGAGTACTGAACTTAAGCGTTAATAGTTTTTGTGAACACTAAAATGTTCAGAAAGCAGGTAACGGTATTCAGGGGCGCTGAAACCACTTTAAGGGTTCAAAACAAATCTGTTTATGAAAATAATATTTTAAAAACTAAAAGACTGGAAGAAAGATTTGAGGACAACGGCGAATGGAACCTGTCTTAATCTTTGACAAAGTATCATACAATCTTTTAAAGATTCTCATTATCCGCTGAACGGTGGATGATTAATCGAGAAGAACAGTGGAAGATTCAGAAAATGCTTGATGGACGAAACATAGAAATGGAGACTAGTTCCCAGATCATCATCATCATTACGGGGTAATGCTATCGAAACTTTCTTTATTCACCTCAAGAGAGAATACCATCTGTCAACGTCATCACAGGTGAGACATAAGCAAACGTTTAAAACCATTAAGGTGACGAAGATTGGTACAAGAAACTGCAGAGTAAACAATATCAGAAAATTTGATTTAAGCTAATTTAATACGGAAAAGATAAATATGATGCTGTCCGCGTGCTAATACTTCTGACCATGTTAAGAAACAGAACTAGAGCTATGCTTCTAGCTATTTCGAAGGGCCATCAGTGCTATCATATATAAATACTTACCTAACACCATTTGAATATCTCTCGCTTCCAACACGTTCGATTTCCTGTGTTTGGCAAGCAAGCAGCCACTGGTCACCAACAGTTCAACGAAACCGTCAACAAACTGCAGCAATGCATCCTTCACATCGTCGTCGAACTGTGCACACGGGTCTACTTCGTG